CCCGCGGCGGGGCGCGCAGGCGGCGCCCTCGCCCGCGGCCCCCCGGCAGCGCGTCCCGCGGACTCTGCGGGGCTCGCTTCCGAGCAGACCTGTCCGGAGGGCCCTGCCGCGTCGGCCGGCCCTGCAGGCAAAGTGGCGGAAGGCAGCGCCTTGCCAGTGACCCGGGCAGCTCGCCCGAGCCGTGCGCTCCGAACCTCGGCGCAGCCGGCGGGGGCCGGAGGAGGGCGGCCGGGCTGCCGCGACTTCCCGAGGGCGCGGGCGCGGGGCGGGGACCTTTCCGCAGCCGCAGCCGGGCTGCGCCCGCCCCAGCGAGGGCTCCCCTTTCTCCGGCCACCTTGCTCGTTGATTCGAGCGGGCTGGCCTCCGAGCCCGAACCGGCGGCCCGGAGGAGAGAGGGCGGCCCGGCCCGGCCCGGCCCGGCCCGGCCCCCGGGTGCTGTGAGGAGCCGCTGGGCAAAAGAGCGAGGCCAGGCCGAGCGAGCGCCGTCCTTGCGCAGCCTTTGTTAGGGAAGCGGCGCTGGACGGACCTCGGCGGTGGCCCCCTCTGGTCACCGCTTTTCCAGGAATGCTTGAGGGTGTCCGCCCCAACAGCTTTTCCCAAACGGCAGCGCACCAGAAGTTGCCGGGTGGCACCACCCATCATCCCCGGCCCGGCCAACTGTGGATGCTAGGATCTGTAGTCCAGCACAAGTGGAGGGTGCCGGTTGGAGAAGGCAGCGTTAGAGAATCTAGGCAGATAGAGCAGCCAGACAAATCCACGGAGCCAGACAAGGGCGAAGAGGCGGCTAACAGACCGATAGAGGTGAGGATGGCTGCACAAGCTTCACAGCTCAATCAGCATTTGAACCTGGGTCTTCTGTGTCCAAAAGCGTAATAATGCCTGTGCTAACACCCTAGCCTTGCCCCTGTTTATCTGCTTTGGAAGATACTCTGTATATTTAGCAGCTACACGATAGACCGCGATTCAACTGATGCAGCTTTTCCACCCCGGGCTGAGCATTGCATTGCTCAATTTCTGCCTGCCGAGCAGAAAGTCTCAGTTCTCTTGAGACTTTTTGTGTCTACAGTAGTTGTATGGAAGGTAGGGAGTCCAATAGACGCAACATGCCAGCAAGGTAAACACTTCACCGGTTGAACATCTGGCTACAGATGCTACAGCTATTAAATGCACAACGCCTCTCCTGGAAAAGGACAGCACAACCCCCTTCCTCCTCCCTTACAGATGATGATGATGATGATGAAGAAAGCATCACTCAGCTGATGCTCCATCCAGCCTGTATTTTCACATCCATCCTGTACTCTGCTCTTCATGCACACCTAACAGTGTGTTCCAGTGCACATGCATTCAGAAGTACTAAGTTCAATGGGAGTGACTCCGGAATAAAGTTTACTTTACCAAAGCACTCCGTAGCTTTACGCTAAACTTTTCAGCCATGTGGTTTATCAGCCACTACACAGCCACACAACAAAACTAAGTTACACGGATAGCATAAATGCGTCTTTTGTTATCATTGCTTTCTAAAATGAGCCCTGCTTTATTTTTTTGAATAAGTTTTATTCTTAATATATACCTAATAAAAACCCTAAAAAGCATCAACGATCGAAAACATCAGACCTACTGGGTCAGCCCCCCACATTTTTTCTTTTTATGTTAAGCTATAAACATATTTAAGTCTATGCGTAGTCCCATTTCTCTAGCCAATGATAAAAAGAGTCCCAGGTTTGATAGAAATCTGTATCTTCTTTCTCCTTCAGAGACAATAAAATGAGCCCTGCTATTAAATAATGGCCTCAACTGCCGTCACTAAATCACAGTGCCTAAATCACACTTAGATAGTCATAGGAATCATGTGAGTACAGAACAATTTGGACAGGCTAACATGTCACAAATGGCAACCCTTAAAAGTTGTGCAGAAAGAGTACTGGAGTGGGAGGGACAGAGTCTGCCTCCACAGTTCCTTCTGTTTGCACAGCTGCAGACAAAGGCATTGTTTTAATCATCTGCTGGGAACATCTCAACTTGCTGATTCCCCCCCCCCCCCACACACACACACACCAAGTTCTGTAGAAGGGAGAAGATCAGACAGTGATGGTTCTCGTATCAACTGGGCAGCCCAGTGATGAGCTGCTGCTGGCCCGTATCTTACCGCAGCGGTGTGCACCCATGGGCTGTTGGATGTGCTTGGATGACAGTACACATCACCTGCCGAAGGATCACATCGTCTCCCTCCTTGTCCCTGTCTTATCTGCCCTCTTTTAATCAAGCTGCTTTAAGCTTCTTCCTTAAACAAATATATAATTTGCAATCCTGGGCAAGTTGCCTGGCTGGGACATACTGGAAGTTGGAGGACTCTTTCTTTGGCTGAATATGCATAGAATTGCGCTCTTAACTTCAGTAGAACTGAAGCCCCCAAACGGGTAAAGAGCAAGATTATTCTGTGCAGAGGAAACCTTCAAAGGAGCACATCCTGATTCTTGGCAAACTTCAGTCCACTTAAATTAGAATTACAAGAACAACCACCTTGTCTTTGATTTGTTTACGCATTTAAATTGTTATGCTAGTCCCCTGCTAAGTGATACAAACTTATCAGCCTTCGCTAAGAGCATTTTTGCAGGATTTGCTATAACTTTTGACATACCACAAATGATTGTCTCAGAGATGCATGAACAGTGCTCAAAATTTTTGAGGGCTAGTACCTTGCTCAGGCTCATTTGCAAGGTTGTACCAGCCCTTACACTGGCATTTGATCCCTGTTCACACCCACTTCTTTTTGCAGCTGGCACTGACCTTTGCAGCAGTAGTATGGTATAAAAACACTTCCAGTAAAGTGCAGAAGTGAACTGTCAGCAACATTGACACAAAGTCAACACATCTGTGCTCCCAGGCTTGAATTTCAATTTAATCTCAGGCAAGAGTTCAATTGTCCTTCCTAGTAAATGTGTTCGAAAATGCTCCCCCACCCCCCCAAAATAAAAATTATCTGTTGCCATTCTATGAAATATGCTTTATTTTCTAGAGAGCTCAGTAGTCTTATTAAACGTTTTTGTAATCATTTTGGAATAAAAAGTGTGTTCTAGATAGCTCATTGACCTACTCATTTGTAGACCAATGAAACAACACAAATCCCTGAACTGTTGTTTCTATAGAGGTCCTGTAATTTGCTGTTAATAAACCTAATTATTCTGAATGGAATGCAAATAATTGTCATCCACCTCCATTTTTCTAATCGCTAGTTCTGTCATGCCCAGGCAGATCATTCTTTGAACTCTCAAAGGACCTGAGTCATATTTAAAATGAATGGGATGTGCATTGGAAAGAACACAAAACAAAAATAAGTGACAATAAAATATATTGTCAACATGCCTCAGCTAATCTAGAGTTTGCCCCAATGACAAAAGGGTAAAAAATAGATAATTAAATGCAAATCATATCACAAAGATCAGACATTTAAATGTTGAAAAAGGACTTACCAGCTAAATATATATGCCATTTTATTACTATTGATAATAATAGTCTTACTTTACCTTTTTCTGCAAGGAAACACGGCAACTCACATAGCTTTCTTCTTCAATTTATCCTCACAACAACACTATGAGACAGGTTAGGGTGAGAGTCCATGACCTGCCCAAAATCGCTCAGTGAGCTTTAATGGCTGAGACTTGAACCCAGATCTCCTGTTCAGCGGTCAGATCATTACCCAATGCTGATTATGCTGATACATAAAGGCTCCACTGAAGAGGCTAGGAATCCTACCTTAAACAAATGGCAAATTAAACCCCAGACTGAGCCACTCCAGTAGATGTGTTTATGATATTTGGAGAAACGACAGGTCAAGGTTTCAAAGTTATTTTGTTAATCCTGCAAGTAAGACCTGAAGGATAGGCTAATAGAATTGCTGGAACACTCCTTCCATTAATTTATTTCTTACATTTATATACCTCCTCATAGCCCAGAAAGACAGTTTACAGTAAAATACAATAATCCCAAATTCAATCTCTAGGTTGGATACTTGCAAATAAGGAACTGATAGAGATTCTTTAGAGACAAGGTTGCCACTGCTGCCACAGACTTTCCCTGTGACTTAAAAAAGGTACCCAATGGGTAAAGTTCACTTTGCCTTGATAGTGCATGTGGTAAACTGAATAGACAATGCTTTCCAAAACATAGATGCAAACTTTACTTGGAGAAGACAATCATGCTAGGGAAAGTCAAAGGCAAGAAGAGGAAGAACAACTATGAGATGGATCAGTCCTACAAGAGAATTCACAGTCTTCAGTGTACAAGGCCCGAGCAGGGCTGCCAAGGGCAAGACTTGCTGGAGGGCATCCATC